ATATATATATATATCTTAGGAAAATAATACAGGCCTGAAGGAAATCTGTATTTACTTAGCTTATTTACTTACTTACTTAGGTCCACCTTCTCCAGCAAGTTCTTCAGCATCCTTTCCAGAAGCATTCTGTTGCCGAGAAAGCAGGCTACTCTTCACCAACTCCTTCCTGGGCAAAAAATCTCAGAGTGAGCTGCTCGTCGTAATCTGGAGAAAGCAAATGAAGAAATAATGTCTGTCATTGAATTCGAAATATAATAATATAGCTGATAAATCCTTAATGAGCATGTACATTTTGATAACAATCCTACATTAATAATAATGGTCATATATAAAAATCTTTTTTAGCAAAATAAACTGATTCTTACTCAGAAACGTCTCTGTGATCTTTGTTGTTCTGGCTAACTTTAGTAGAGTAACAAGGTGCATTTGGTCAACAACATGAGTTATCCTCAATGACTATGAATTCTTAAGAATTTTTTTTCATAAAATTTCTTTTGCTGTTATATAATTTACACAGTAAATCATATACCAATTCAACAATTTCTCAATGTACAGTTTAGTGACACTGATTACATTTTTTGAGTTGTATAAACATTTTTACCTTCCTTTTGAAATGATTCTTCATTAACATCAGCTCACTGGCCTCTAAACCTCCTGACTAATCTTTTGAGTTGTTGTCAGTTTGGTCTCATATAGATAGCACAATGCTCAAGGTAAACTAACATTTTTTTTACTAGTTAAGCTGACTGTTACTGGTTTTAAGATGACTTCAGGGGATATTTCTGGTTTAATGTTTAAAGATTGTCTCAGGGCAATAGTTTCAGGGGATCATCTGTTCTTCACGGCTCCAGAAAGTCTAGAGTCTATTAGAATTTGAAATTCTATTTTGAATTTCCCACCTTTTGATCAGGATCTTCTATAAAAGCTTTGATCAGAATGTTCAGGAATGGTTGCTGGACACCATCCAGTTCTTCTGGTCTTGTGGCAAAGAAGGCAGTTGTTATTGAAGTCAGTTAGCCTCATGTTCAGTCTCCACCTCCTATTCCTGACTTTCCTCCCTTTGTTGCTCCAGGTAAATAGAGATCAGTAGTTGTGCCTTGGATGACCACTTGTAAATTTTTAAGCTCTCAAACACTACACAATGAGCTAGGAGGTAGACAGAAGCACTAAACTTGTTATTAGGGTGAACGTTGGCATGTTCTATGAAATCATGACTTTAAACTTGAAACCAAGGAACCAAATCCCATAAAGTGTTTGTACATAAGCAGCCTCAGCAGCTAGTTTTCTTTTGTCATTGTTTTAAATATATCTATCACTTAAATTCTGCGAATTCAACTTTTTGCAGGTGTGCAGCTTCTTGACAGCAATTACAGTATCCGCTACCCTGAATCAATGCAATCTTTCCATCACCTCCCCTACCTCTTCTCCCTCCCTCCTGTCATTGGTTGTTGGTGGTTTTGTTAAGTGCCGTACAATCAGTTCTAACTCATAGCGACCCTGTATAGAGTTACTCAACTTTGATCTCTATACATTTGCTCTTTCTTACCTTTTTGAAAAATTCAATACATTTTATTTGTTTTGTCTAATTGAGAATCTTTTTATCTTACATGATTTTTTTCTTCTAAATTTGTGTTTTGTAATTTTCTCATAAAAAACCATAATGAAGTTCTTTATAAAGTGCATTCTCTGATTTTCTTGTCATCCTGCTTCAAGGAAATCCATGTATTCAATACGCTTGCTCTCAGTTTAGCCCATATCAAATGATTGTGTAATTCAATACCTGAGCAGCAAACTGAGCTGAAACTTCAGGAGAAACAATCGTTGAACAGCTGAGAAGAGACGACCATGGATCCTGAGCTGCCCAGTCTGTGGTGAGGGGAGGACAACCGATCACTGGATATGCAGTGTTACCAGATATCACTGGTCCCAAACCATTGCTTCTGCCAGCTACTACCATCCCCTTCATACTCAGCTTTAATCCTCAGAGTTTTATCTGGTCCTTTATGGGCAGAAGTTACCTGAAGTTCATATGGAATGCCAAAATTTCTAGAAGCCTTCTTGATTTTTTTTCACAGTGACAGAGATCAGAAATTGAGCCCATCTATACTACAACCCTGCACTGGCTTTCAGATTTTAGAAGCATCTTTTCTTTCTGCAATCCCTTCAAAATTTTTTCTTTTCCATTTGCAGCCCTTCAGGAGTAACTTCTTTCAGGTCATGATACGACCGTCTTTTCGTTGGCTTTGATCTCCTGATGGTTAGAGTCTACAGGAATTGTTATCAA